AATACAAGATACTTATACTTTGTAAAGATAATACTTGCAAATTTTAAGAAAAAAATCTTATTATAATAGGTAAAATATTTTAGGATTCTTATCTTTTTGATTTTATAGTTTTATTTCCTCCTACAATTACCTCCTATACAACATTATATAGCAATATATCTTCTTTATAAGAATCTAAGATCTTCAAACTTAGTATCTTTGGCTAAATCACTTGCATCACAATATGATACCTAAAATGGCTTCTAATAGTTCCTCCATAAATGGTTTTAGGCTCAAGACTATTGAACACCCTATGTTATGCTCAAGGTGTGCTTTTGAAAAGTCTCATAATATAATAATTTTAAAGAAAATCAACAAAATCAAAGCTATACAACCATGGATGTGAATTCATAGTGATATTTGTGATTTGATAAACATACCCTCTCATGGTAGTTCACTTTATTATATATTATTTTAAAATAATTATATATACTAATTTTTTTTTATTTTTTAAAAAATTGATATATTTATTCATTTATAATAAGTATAGAAGATAGTTTTTTAAAACAATGGCTATAAAGCTCTTACATAAAGAACTAATAATGTAAGTAAATTTTGTAATAAATGCTTCATTGACTTTTTTCATTGAATCAAATACAAATTCATTATCTTATATACACCAAATAAAACATGGTATTTGAGCAAGATAATAGAATATTAATTAGACAAAAACATAGAAGATTCAATCCTAGGATGCAACTTATTGTAAAAATAAAATTAAAAAGACTACTTCAAGAAAGATTGATAAAGCTTTTAAAAACTATGGATTGGTTGTCTCATATTGTCTTAGTAAAAAAAAAAAGGAAAAAGAAATAAGCTCAAGGTGTATGAAAATTATGGAGATTTAAATAAGTACATTTAAAAAGATCATTTTTTTATTATCTTTTATTACTTCTATAGTAGATAATAAAAGTAGATCATGACCTTTATGATTTTATGGATAACAACTTTAATTACAATCAAGTATCAATAGCTCTTGAAGATTGGCACAAGATTGCATTTACATCACCTTAGAGAACCTTTGTATATGTAATAATATCTTTTGGCTTATGCAATACTCCTTCAACTTTTCAAAGAATCATAATCTATACATTCTCAAATCTTCTTAAAAAAAACTATGTTAATTTTTATTGATGACTTTCATTATCAATCTTCAAAGAATAATCATCTTGAAAGCCTTCAATTGTATTTCCTACATTGTAGAAGAGTAGGAATTTCTCTCAACTTGGAGAAGGTTTATTTAGTGATTAAAAAAAGAATTTTATTGAATTACATCATTTTTAAGAAAGAAAAAGAAATTAAAATTTTAAAAATAGAGGTTATTACAAACCTACTACTTCCAAATGAAATAAAAGGCATTCAAAAGATTTTAGGACATATGGATTGGTATTGTAATTTGATTGAATTCTATTCTATTCATGCTTCTCTATTGACTAATTTTTTAAAGAAGACCATTAAATTTGAATGGACTTCTAAATATCAAGCAGGTTTTGATGCAATTAAAATCAAATTGCTTTCATATCCTTATCTATTACCACCTAATTGGGATCAACCTTTCTATGTCTATTGTGATGCCTCTAAATTGGCAGTATGTAGTGCTTTATATCAACCAAATGATAAAAGCGTAATTCATCTTATTGCTTTGCTAGAAAATAATTGATAAGTACTGAGTGCAACTATACTACTATGGACTGAGAATGTTTGGCTATGGTCTTTAGCAACAAAAAATTTTGCCATTATCTTTTGATGAAAAAAATCATTTTCTTTATAGATTATATGGCTCTTAGATATATTACAAAGAAACCAAATTTAAGTAGTAGATTAGTAAGATGGATATTGCTTTTGGTAAAATTTGCTTATAAAGTGCTATAAAAACTAGAAAAAGAATACAAACAAGTTGATCACCTTTGAAGATTCTTTACAACTATAGGTATCTAAGATATAGATGATGAACTGCTTGATGCTCAATTGTTCTATATTATGTTGACACCTACATGATATGAAAATACTAATAAATTTTTGAGTACTCAACAACTATCTAATAGCTTATCAAAAAATGAACAATAGAAGATTAGAGTGAATAGTACTTATTTTGCTTTTATAGCTAAGAACTATATCATTGAAGGATTGATGGGATTTTAAGACATTATCTTACTGGTATTAGAAGATTGTCATTCAAGTGCTTATAATAAATAATTTTTTAGTCAATTAATAATTCAAAAAATCCTTAGAATAGGATAATTTTGGCCTATAATATTTAATAATTTAGATTCTTTTACAAGATCTAGTGATTCTTGCCAAAGATATGCATGCAATGATTTAAATCTTGCAATGCCTTTAAATATGTAACTTCTACTTGTTCCATTTGAAAAATGGAATATAGACTATATTGGACCTATCTATCCTACATCTTCACATCAAATGCAATATATTATTGTAGCTACAAAATATTTGATCAAATAGGCAAAAGAAAAAGTTGTGAAAAAGGCAAGTGATAAACAAATTGCCATCTTTTTGTATGAGAATATCATAGCTCATTTTTGGTGTCCAAAAATCTTTATAAGTGATAATGGTTATTATTTTTTAAATAAAGCTATCAAACAAATGACCACATTGTTTATCATCAATCATAAGAAGATTACTTTCTATCATCCTCAAAAAAATGGTCTTATAAAAAGAGTCAACCAAATCTTAGTTTAGATATTCAAGAAAACTATGATGGTTTCTAAGTGTGATTGGGATTGTAAACTTACTTCAGCACTTTGAGCTTAATAAACTATTTACAAGGTTTGTACAAGAGCTACACCTTTTTCTTTGGTATATGAAATAGAAGCCATTTTGCTTATAGATTTGAAGTCTCATCTTTACACATTGCTATTGATAAGAGATTAAATACTTCTCAATCTTTTAAAGAACAATTAGAGCATTTAAAAAGACTTAGTGAGATTTTAAAAAAATCAGCTCAACTTATAGAAACTACTCAGAGAAGAAGGAATGAGATCTTTAATAAAAAGATAAAAAAAAAACGTCTCTCTATCCAAAAGATGTAGGTGATGGTTCAAGATGCTAGAAAACTAGAATTTCTAGCCAAGTTTGATGCACTTTTGACTTGGCCTTATATTATCAAAGAAAAATTTGATAATAATTCAATCAATCTCAAAACATTAAATGGAGAAGATTTTCCTATCCAAACTAATAGAAGTCATTATAAAGAATATAAAGTATAATCAAGTGTTTTAACAACAATGTATTATGTCATCTTATAGTATATTTAAGTCCAACTTAAAGATTATTTTATCTTTAGAATATTATGAGACTAGATTCAAGGCAAAGGCAGCAAGCAATGTAAGATGTTTTTTTTCTTTTCAGTCTTAGTCATCTCTCATATGGTCTATAGAATTCAATTTTGTTGTTATGAATTTGCAATTGTATAGTTCTTAATTTGAATCTTAATAGAAATAATAAGAAGTAATAACAAGAATTTTTTTTATTAAAAAAAATATTAGATTCAACTTATGTATTTTAATATCATAATTCTTATAAGTTATTTCAATTACATATATATTTGAATAATCAAAGATTGCAAGCAATATTAGCATAAAAAGATGAAGAGGAAAAAATATATATATATATATATATATATATAATTGATTATATCTCTAAGAGCAACAACAATATTAAATCTAACTACTTGTCCAATGAAAAGATATGTTGGGTATAGTTTAAGCCATTACTTATTTTAGGCCTTATCTATATACCAAGAGTTTTATATTGGTAACAAACTATTAGCCTTCAAAGTGACTTATAGAATTGAATAAGGTTACTAGATAAGCTTGCCAAGTGGGCTTTATTGCTTTAAGAATATGACTATAAAGTTATATATCATTTATATCCAAGTTTCCAACTTAGATGCAAATGATCTATTTTGTAATCCTACATATTCTCAATAGGATTTGATAAGAGCTAGGTGGCATAGAGATTGTGATTGAGAGATAATTTCAAATTAGCATGCAATAGTTTATCTTACTTTGATATTTAATTTTGCTTGTGAGGCATATGGTGAGAGTTCAAATAAAGAAATTAACAAGATCCAAGTTTTTGATAATAGACATGAGGATCTTCTAGTATTGCACAAACTCCAATAATGGTCATTTTTTTTGTCTACTTCACCCACAAAACATAACAAAATTAGTCTCCAAATAATACAATTTTGTTAAGAGAATCATTTGTTGTTTTAAATATGCCAAGTTGGAGCAAAAGTGATGATTTCTAATTTAATCCACAAGGCTTCATTGATATGGCAAGTGCATTACAAGCTTGATCATTTTGAAGTGTACAAGACACATCCTATGATATACAACCAATATTGGTAGAATGATATGTATCAACAAGTCAATGCTTGTATAGGCAAATGTGAGATCAAATTAGGTTAAGTTTCACATATTATTACCTCAATAAAAACCTTCACCAATCATGGCTTTGAATTACCATTGATCATTGGATGTTGTTGGAAAAGCAAATATAACCACATTTTGTCACTCCACATGGAGCTAAGTATGTATTAGTGATTTGGCAATTTAACAAGTAGATTACACTTGTGGCTCTATTCCAAAATTCCTGAGATTTGGCAGCTATGGCATTTCTTCCCAAGTTATGCAGAAAATCACATTGCCATTCTTTGCTTAGATATCCAGCTATCTAAAAAGCTGTGGACTACAACACCAGATTGTTGGCTCAGTCCAAACAAAGACAATCTCCGCATGACCTTAAACAAGTTGTGTGATAAACTGAAGACGGAAAACAACCGAATCTAGGTGACGATATTTGCAAGGGGAGCTGGACTACCTTACACCATAATCCAGAGGAGATTTATCAATTGATACCCACAAAGGTTGGCTAGGATTAATCATCATTGCTTATCAAGAACATTCCAATGGAATTCTCAATGCCAGAACTGTAGCTGCATGGAAATCATTGACTGACTCACCTGTTGTGTAGAAGTCAACGTTCATTTATTTCCAATAGAGAATGTATTGCCAAGTATTCAAGTTGCATGGCACTGCCTGCACAGCAGAGTTGCATCCGCTGATGCCAAGAGTCTACGACCGTTGTCTTTTAACTTTCTTACGACACCTTAACCTTACAAAGGTCATCACACTAGCATGTCTTCACGAGCCACAGCCTGTCCCCAGAACACACATCATTCTTGCACAGGAGCTGATTGTCGAAAGACTATGAATAAGGCACGGCTGCAGGGGGCACTTTGTTCACCTTGCCCAGAGTGATCCAATACACCTGCCACTGATAATATCCTCCATCTGCTAGACTAACCAAGGGGATGGAAAGATATCAATCCTCTCGATAAATTCCGAATAAGTGTTCGAAACCTATGACCACAATTTATAGCGCAGCCAAACAGTGCATGAACTTTAGTGAAGGTGTTACACTTGTGTGTCCTAGGGTTTCTCACTCAAAAGTGACACACTAAGTAAAGTCTAGTTCCAGGTATGTACTTAGCAATCTGGATCGATGCAAGATGCTTCCCAATATGTGTCAGTGTCTGTACAATTGCCTGCTTCAGACCCTGCCTTAATGTCACCGTTACCTGTTAAGACTAAATAACTTACGGGCACTGATTGAAGATCGCAATGACCTGATAATTGAGCTTATCTTAGCTCCATGTACTATTAGTCCATAGTGCCACTCTGGATACCGTTACAAGGATGCACGTCCACGGTGGCACGTTTCATGACTTTTACAGATGTATAGTAAAACAGGGAGCTCTATAGTGCATACCCGTCTGGGGAACCTTCAACAACTAAAGCAATTCATGACCTTGCTGGACAGGTCATCAACAGTGCTGCCAGCAACATTGCAGCTCCACCTACAACCTGCAAAGCCAAATCATTATGTTAATCGGGAAAGCATTACTACTGCGTACAGCTAAAGAGACAAACATACAGACAGTTAAATTTATATACATCATACAGACAGTTAGATTTATATACATCATACAGACAGTTAAATTTATATACATCATACAGACAGTTAAATTTATATACATCATACAGACAGTTAAATTTATATACATCATACAGACAGTTAAATTTATATACATCTGACAAAGTTGTGATATAAGGAGCTATCGTATGAAAGAATCTAGTACCTTGTGTAATACAGCCCCAATGCTATCTGCAAGTCCGTGATGGTCCTGGAAGCTTCTATCATCTCCATATCGATCATCGTGTGAACCAGCTGCCACTTTAATCAACTCAAGAATCTTAGCTCTAACCTTGAAATGATCTGTCACTTGTCCAACCCGTTCCTCTCTCACAATTCGCCTAGCCTGCAAGTACCATCCATCAATATGTAAGTTGAATAAATTTTCAACCAACCTTATGCGTGGGAGATCAATATTGACATCAAAGAGTTGAGGATTCCTAACAGAACAGCCTTGTCCATACAATGAGTGGTAAGTTTACAGCATGATAGGTGCTATCATGAGTTACAGGTTCTAGGTACCTCTTCAGGAGATGTCCATTTAGCCTCCAGACTATTTTTCTGGGCCCACCTAGCTCCTGGCCCTGATCGCACTTCAGACTTCGGACCTTGTACAGATTGACTTTGAAATTCAGGATGATTGAGCATATATCTTGGCCGAGTTGCTTGATACCCACCCCATCTTTGACCCTGCAAAGAAACCATTTTTTCTTAGAAAGATAGTTTTACTAAACTGATGCCCAACAGCATACATTAACGTTACAAGCGACCTCCTGAAGACAACTCTCTTAACAAAGCAACTATAGTAACCCGAGTCATTGTGGTGGACAATCTCGTAACGCAATCTACTTCGGAGGACACTCTCGTAGACCAAGTCACACTGAAAAATACTCTCGTAACACAAGACACTCTGGAAGGCAATCTCAAGCTTCGAGTCTTCTCAGTACGCGGAGTGATGGGTCCTGCACAAGAGCTTTGCATAGGTAGTGATAGGGTTGTTCTGGGTGCACTTGCTAATGAATGTAATTAATGATGTAGCACAAGGTGAGCATCTAAGTGACGCTACAGAATCCTCAAACTCGGTGTTTTCAGGTGAACTATTTACCAAAGGACTTGCGTCCATTTCGCTTTCAATAACTGTTTGCACTCGGAATTAATTTCACCCAACCTTGAACTGTTTTCAGACAAACCAACCTCCCATAAACCCCGTCCAGTTCCACCAACAGTTTGTACCTCAACATGCATATCACCCTTGTTCGCCACGACTTCGTTAGTCGAAAAATCTGAACCCCCAGGGTTTTCCCTCCTTTTGATACTATTTGTGCGTTTGAAACTTCTGCTTTTCTGCATACCGATCGCTTTTGCATAATCAAACATTGGCTTAGGCGCCAGAGGCTTTGTGGTTCCAAACCCTAAAGGCGCGTTTGCTGTTTTATTCAAATCCTTCCTTACACCTGTAGTTGAACCATTCCCTAAAACTCCATTTTGTGTTTCTTTAATGCCATCCGTATATGATTCATCAACCTCCGTAATAATCACTGTTGATGCAGGTGCTGCTCCCTTCAATACATCCCACTCATCTGTGGTTGAATCGTCAATCTCCGTAATGGTTACAGTTGATGCAGGTGCTGCTCCCTTGGAATCCTCCCTCTCCTCTGTAGCTGATTCATCAACTTCTGTAATGGTCACTCTTGAGACAGGTGGCGTCCTGATCACATTCTCAACAGCTGGCTGGGGGACGGTTTGGAAGACGATTGTTTTATTCATGCGTTCTTCTTCCTTTCTCTTCAAAGCAGCTACTCTCTGTAGTTAAATATTCCCAAGTTACAGTTCGGTTTGACTGGATACTTCAGAAAATTTCGGAATAATAACATTGTGACTAAAAAACAAGTCCAACAAATAAAGTCCACGCCAATTTCTAACAGTACACAACCTTCATTCTTACCATTGTTTCAATTTTCTTCCGCTCTTCATCAGAAAGCACGAAGCTCATCTTCAGGTGGATTCGTCCACCAGCTCCGAGTTCTACAAATTCATCTCGAGAACCTTTCTGGATAATGGAAGGAATTTCAATAGCTGCAATTGCTCCACAGAAAGTGACCGGTCGTCAGCCATGTCTCTGATTTTTAAATGTAGTAAACTTTATAAATACCCAAAGTTCTGAATGAGGGAAGCTAATGCGCGTTACAAACACCTTGCTTGTTAGCTCCTAAGGTAACCGCAACCAATTCCATTACAATAAAGCATCTGAAGCAGACAGGTGTAAGACAAGAAAAAGCAAGGAACCCCACCAGTTTGTGAGACAGATCGATCCTCACTATCGCAAATGGAAATCCCCAGCTTGTCTCGCAAATTCATCACAGGGCTGTCGAGAAATTGGAAAAGAACAACTTTTTTTGTTACTACGTTAAAAGTAAGAACTGCTGTGAACTTAGAAAAGTATTACCCCAGTAGGCAACACTGTTACTCATCACTGATATGCCTCAAATTCAGAAAGAAGCTCCAGCATCACATGAGCAGCAGGTGATGTATTACAAAAAAGTCTTACAAGGCAAAGTCTGAATTCCACGGCTCAATTTTGCCTCCATCTGCAATTTTTAGAGGTGGTGTCTTGAATAACTTAGGTCCCAAAGTGACTGCACCAAAACACATCCGCCAACAGGCACAAGAGGTTAGAACCATTTGCGTGGAGTGACTTAGAGCATGCTCCATCGTGCAGGTGTATAATCAAGTGGAATCGCCTGAACAGAATTAACAGAACTTAACAACCAAATAGATAACGGGCATTCGCATAAACCGCCACTGCGTTTTTCAGTTCGTGACCATGTACCAGAAAGATCTCATTATGGGATCAAAGACTGAAGTGTGACATTTTGTGACTCAATTTGGCTCGTACCGAACAATGTAAAAACGTGAAAAGAACGATAGATCGATCCAAAGCTTCCGGTGTGTAGATGAAGTACCTTTAGCAGTTATGTTATTGTCAATCGTTCCATCTGACAAGAAATAAACAACATGAGGAATCAGTCAACTGCAGCAAAATAGAAGCCATACAATTAACGAAAGGGAACAAATATAAGAGAATCTGTCAAGAGGGATATTATGAATGATTGGCATTAGTCATCATTCACGAATAAGCAGTGATACCTGTGAGTCCTTCAGGAAGATCCACTGCCTCCAAAACTACAGGTATACAATATAAACCAGAATCAGATATGAGCAGGGCATAGAACTGATGATCTTGATGACAAGTATGACAAATATCGACCAACTTAAGATGATAAAATTACTTCACAACAGGGTAACCCTAGTATGTTTGAACTGTACGAAGTCTTGGATAATCTTGACAAGCGGGAGTAAGGGGTTCGGTGAAAATTGTAGTAAACCACTCTAAATGAATAATACCAATTAAAGATTTGACGGAAAAACTATTTGATTTATTACAACCTGTGAGAATGTTTGAAAGATCTCTACACTATGCACTGAGAAATGCGATAGGTATTCACCAACGCAGAGAGGTGCTTCGTAAATCCGTTTAAGAATCTCAAACACATCTAGCGATAGGACCGAGCTTCACGAAGACCACAGAAAAAAACATCTGAATAAAATTATGCGGCGAGGTCACATGAAAGCAGGGGAAGGATTGATTTGGAACTTTATCATGTGCATCAATGACATGATCTTCGTGACTAGTATCTCTCGACCTAGCTTCTTAGAGATTCCAAAACCTCATTCATTCAACCAGAAAAGTGACTGTTCCCCGTCATCACAGTAGGCCTTCATCCCACTTTAAGGACGGTAGGTACCCACATGAGCCGAGGCCACAATCAGAGATTGAGTTTTAGAAGGCAGTCATTCACAGACCTGAAACTCGAATGGTCCCAGGCATTGTCCCCAACAATGTCGACCCCAGGTTTTGGATCCTTCTCTCCGCCTTCTACACCCTGATGTAGATGAAAAGAGACAGAAAGTAGCAGAATAGCACCCCGGGAAGCGGTAGAGCAGTCAACATCAGCTGGCTCCAGTGTACCACACCAACATCTCCGCTGCAAGCGTCTAGTTTGAATCCTCTGCTGAATACCATTCTTTTAGGGCTAGTATCGTGACACTTCGCATCCTCAATCCCCACCTCTCGTATCTCTAGCTGTTAGCCACATGTCCACTGCCTTTCACTCTCACGCAAACACTCCCTCGAATTCCTTAACTAGCCACTTTCAAAGCCTCAAACTTGAACACAGCACCATCATCGGAAACCCAACTCCCAATAAAGCCCACATTGAAACTTGCAAACTGCGAACTCCACTAACCCCAGATACTCCACTGCACGGCACCACTACCATATCAACAAAGCTGAACACACATCTTCAGCAATTCCGAGGCTCTCTCTCTTTCTCTTTCTCTCTCTCTCTCTCTTCCACCAATCTCGCGCATATCCCAGGGCTGCAAACCCAAATCGGAAAGGCCCTCACTGCCTCATCATATCCACACCACTTGCCTGCACTGAAGAACCAATACCCTCGATACACTGAACATCATAGTTGCATCGTCATACACATCAGATGGATCACCTACAGCCTCCTCCGCGAAATCAGAAAAGCGAACTGGTGGGGAGAGTCCGTTTGTGATAAGCCGGAATAGATCTCTGAGGCTCTGGTTCCGGTTACCTTGGTTCCGGATGGTGGGGTTGGTTACGAAGGTGCAAGGGTTCCCTTCATTTATGAAAATTTGTTATTAAAAACATGCTATGGAATAATTGGGTATCGAAATATGATGATGAGTTGTACTTATATCTGTATAGTTAAATTTACCATTATTGACGTGATCAACAATTAAATAGATTTGTAAACAATTTCTTTCAGATTACATTTAAGAGATCAAGACTCGATAAAATCACTATTTGAAAAAACAGAGATGGAATTTCACAGTTTATAAGAAGTAACTTTGCAAAATTTGTATCAAGGATTAAATAATATTCATTGCACACATTTAATGTGAAAATAAGACAAAGATTGAAATCTTCCAAGTAGTTATTTTTAAATTACATGTAAAAAATATAGAGTTTTAGTTCACTTGAATTTAGCGGATTATCCGTAATTAGAACCACGCGAGAAGCATTTAGCTTAGCATCCGCCTTTAGGATACTTAAGCTTCTTAGGCTGAATCCTTAGGTTGACCCTGAATAAGCTTTCTAAATTAACCACCGAACCCTCTTCTGGAATGAAAACATTTACTCAATTGTTTCCACCCTGACACTGGTCAGCATTGATGCTTCGGGAGGGACGCTGGCTTGTGAGTCCGTAAGGCCTAGTATGGTAGTCACACAACTGTGTTGAAATTTTATAAGATAATTGGGTGTTGAATTACGTCCATTTCCCTGCCAAATCATGATGTGAACATTTCTGAACAAAGTGACAACATCCTGAAAAGCCCTGACATCAAAGAGGTATTATTGAAAACTCCACAAACAAGGCGAGAGTGAGGATAGAAGTTCATCGGATGAAGGGAAGTTTGACAGACCCAAGTGACGCAAAGAGGTTGATTTTAGACACTCCAAACTCTTTGATCATGGAGGGCTACTGTAATCCGACACACAGGAGGGTAAAGATGCCTTAGTAAAATGATATCAGTTACAGCATTTTTCTCAGCTTCAAACAGCTATTAATTTCCGTCATCAAGCTCACAAAAGAGTGATAGAAAATGACACCATGCAGGCATTTTGGTACGCTGTAGCGCTGAAAACAGCGATCAACGTTTCTCAATTGCAAATATCATTGTGGAGAACTAAGTAGTCTTATAGCTTCATTCAAGAAGATTCTCTTTGGAGCCCAGTTCGCTATCCTTGCAGAGAACGGTTTTCAAAAGGAATCTTGACAAGAGTTGCTTTTCCGTAAAATTATTCCAGGTTATAGTATTCTCTTTCCTTGGGCAGGAACATATGAACCACCATGTCGCCTGAATTCCATAACACCCAATGCTTATATACAATGCTCCAGAATTTCGATGTGAAGATTAGAATATAATAAAGTTCAGATACATTTGATGTGTTGGAAGCAAGAAATGCAAATGCACTGAATAACCAGAACAGCAACTTCTTTGATGGCTTTCAGTTCGTTAGGTTCCCCAAAATGAGTGCCTGAATGATCATATGATTTAGGAGAATCATGTCACCAAATTACCAAAATCTAACGAAGTCAAAGCATTTGGCTCGACATTGCTTTTAGGGTAGGGGTTGAACTTCTCCTCAGCTACTTCCCACATGCTCTTTCTGCTTCACTCATATCACACACGTATGCAAACATAAATACACCACCATTCGATATGCTCTCAGATTACAAGTCCTTTATAAAATCTTAGGATGACGAGCAAGTCGCTGAAAAGAAATAATATTGGCGACGAGCACTACATAAAGATTTTTGAAGACTACATACATAACAAAAGATTTTTATGAAGCGGAATTATTTGCCAGAGTAGGTCCTTCTAAGAAGATTGTCCACATACCCCACAGCATCAATCTGAGGTTTGGAAAAGGCGGTGACAACAACAACAAAACAAGCCCAATAGATGAGTGGCCTCGCACACAACCCTTGGATCTCACTGCCCTTCACATCGTTTGCAGCCTCAGCCAAGCTCACCGCAACTGTAACTCACGTATATCGAATGAATATGCAAACAATTTAAATGATGACTGAAGAATAGTCTAATCTTTCCTATGGCACATCACAAATTGAAATAAATTGCCTGTCCTTGTACAGGTAATCTCTAACAATTGTCGAAACCACCAGCTATTCACTGTTATCAGCAGCTACTTTTTACAATAAGTACACTGTGCTAATAAGACCGTCCAATATTAATGATCGAAACTTTAGCAATAAATCAATAAATAGCTGCTAATAAATGCCCCTGTGAAGTAGACCTTGATAGCACTAACCTTTTTAACGAGCTAGTTTCTAGTAATCAAAATCCTTAAAAGTGATAAATTTAAGTCCATGCTAGACGTTTCATGGCATGTTGTAAGTAATTAAGAGGATACAAAACGAATTAAATTGCTCAACACTGCAGATTGTCAGACATGGAGAAACCGTGAGAAAAGGGCCGACCATAATTGGAAAGTAGTTAGTTGAGACTCACAAGCTAGGCTGTCCGAATCCTGGTCAACATTATTGTTAAACTCCTCATCTTTCCTCACAATCTCTAAAGCATCGAGGTCATCCTCTCCCAACTAATCGATTTCAAAATTCAGTCACAGTTCCAAACGATTGTGAAAAATATTATATTTTTACAAGTGTGAAACAGCACTGCCAACGAGTAACTGACGAAGAGATCATAATTATTCAATACCGACACGAACAAATGTGCAAACTGGGATAGCTGCTACACTCTAACTTCTATCCCCTTCAGTGGCTAGATTACATGTTAAAAAAGTGATTTCGCCGTTTCAAGCACTTTCGAAGTACGTGGTCTTGCATGCATACACAGCTGCGCGCGTCAGAAGCAACAGGAGGAGAAAACTAGAACGAGAAAGGCATGAAAACTAATAAGTAAAAATAAAATTACGAAATCATGGATTTTTTTGTACCCACATAGCTTCCATGGATATAACAGAACAAATTCAAATGCGCTACTGTATCTCATAATGTGTAAAGGAGGATTCTGCTTAAATTTGGGGTTAAGAGGGAGTGAGGCTCACATGAAATATTTAGCAATCAAATATTAGGATAGAGTGAGAGAACTAACCATTTCTTAATTGCTTAAATGTGATATTTCCTTAGGGTAGATAGAAAATATACCTCTAATTCTTCCATGTTCCGACCACTTTGCGGATTTGATACACCGCGGCATATTTGGTCAGCACAACGAAGCACATTCCTAAAATTTTCTGAAGATCGATTGAAAACAAATGTTCGAACCGTCGACGACGCCATCTGTACAGCAGGCAGGCTTGTACAAAGTGAAACCTGCACACTAACGTTTGAAACATGACTGCAGATAATGCACGGAACTTGCCAAATACTTGCAGAATTACATTGTTGCAGAGCCAGCACTTGGTGAGGATGAGGCATGATGAACGTAAAACCCTACAACACCACCGCGACCCAGCCTCAAACCAACTAAACCTCCGCAACCAACTTTGAAAAATTGTACACAATGCGACCGGAACTAAGACAATAGCAGAAGCAGATGGACATCCTCTAGCTGTACACCTTCAACAAATGATTGCGTGGCAGAAAAACCACTTAATTCTGAAATTCCCACAACAAAGGTTCAATAGACAAAGCACAACTATATGTCCGACAAAATACAGAAAAATTCTCCACAAATCCCAAGAGGGGGCGAAAGGGCAAGTCGCTCTTCAGGAAAGAAACATCAGGGCTATCACGAACTCGAAGACGAGCTACAAGAACAAATCCTAGACGCGGAAAACAAGAATTGAAGCAAGTGGCGAATGTTACGTTGAGCTCCTCCGTCGCTTGTCGATGGTGCGGAGGACATCGCGGTGATCCATGCCCGGTCCCGATCCAGGTGCCTCCCTAAGAACAAACAGCACTTAACTCCGTGGGAATCTTCGTGGTTTGAGAAGTTTGTCTGGGTGGGTGTTGTCCCTTTTCGTTTGTGGAGGTAAAAATGGAAAAAAGCGTTAATATTTACAAAAGGATCATTCTCATGGGACCAAATTTTAAATACTTCAAAATTAAAATCATGCGAGATAAATGTTCAAGAGGTACGATGATTTTTTTAGATTACCCAATGCAAAACACATGCTTGAAAGTTGGGAAAGAAATAAATCTATAGAGAGAATGATCATAATAACAATGATTTTTGAATGATGAGAACTAATCTTCCAATAGGATTTTATTTTATTTTATTTTATAGCCATGGAAGATCTTAATGGATGTTCTCAAGTTATTGTAGTTTTTAATACTTTTATAAGAAAAACTTAAGGTTTTTAAAATATGCTTCTGAATCAACTTCACTTTCTTTTTTAACAATTTTTTTTTGTTTATTTTTATTATAAGTAAAACATTACTCATTTTTATTAGGTTTTGATTATGAATTTAAATATTATACTTATTATTTATTATTATTAACTATTTCTAAGTATTTTACAATATTGAGTTCTTTTGAATAATTTATTTTTATTTTAATGTGATTGAAAATATTGTTCAAATTTAATTCATATGATTTGAAAATACACTATTTGTAAAGAGGTTAGATATTACACAATAATGTAAAAAAAAACCAATTTTAATTACAATTATGTCATATTTTATATTATTTTAATTATTTCTATACATATATATATATGTGTATATATATATAGAGAGAGAGAAAATAAAAATTCTTCAATAGATATTTTATTTTACATCCTAAAATAAGTGACATTATATTTATGTATATAATATTATTAATATTTTGATTGACATTATATTTGTATATATAATATTATTAATATTTTGATTGGTATTATATTTTTGTATATAATATTATTAATATTTTGATTAGAGCAATGCAAGTAATTATATATATATATATATATATGGAAGTTCAGTTTATTATATTGATTTTAAAATATGTGTATTGTAGATTTAAAATAAGTATAAATATTTTTAATATTTTTATAATGGTGTTTTTTTTTAGTTTATTTTTTTAGAATATTTTTAAACTAAATTTTAATAACATAGATAAAATTTTGAGATGTTTTGAATGATTAATATGACACAATTGAAATATGGAATTGAAATTTCCACCTATATGTTTATTTTTTATATCCAATATTATATTGTACCCACTACACTACTATTGTTATTGATAATGTTATTGTTTTGTGATGTGTTCAAAGACAACCTACATATATGCATTCAAAACTAAAATATATGTAATGTTGTATTTATTGTTATGCACTAAAAAGATATTCAAAATTAACATAAAGCATCATTTTTAGGTATAGTGGCTCAAATTACATAATTGTAATTTGCCCTTGAAAAAGAAAAAAAAGAAAAAAATTGTCACAATCCTTTTTTTTTCAAAATAATTTCACAAATGATATTGCAAATCTTGAAAAAAACATCACTTATAACTTCTAAAGAATTAATACCATATTCAATGAAACAAGACAATTTTGAGCTTCAAAATGAAGTAAATTTTGCATATAACTTTACCATGTCCATTACTTTAGATTCAAAAGAGGTGACATCAAGACCAAAGTATACTTCTATGCTTATCTCTATTCACACTACCCACTAAAAAAATCACGCAAATTTTATTTTCATTTCAATAAAAATATGTCACTTTCAAAAAATAATAGAAAAAAATATAATTAAATGGCGTCTACTACTAGGCACATAAAACAATCTCCATATCTATAATTTATTTACTAATTACAATACTTCTTATTAAGAGATTGAATTGCTTTGTTCAATAGGTAAATGTCACATGCATTTTCATCATACTTTTACAAGTGTCTGCTTGAACAAAAAAAAATTTATGCAGCAATAACAAATATGAGATTGGATCTGGATGATGAAATCTCATGGACTTTGACTACATCAAAAGAAGGTGAATCTCAATCATCCGCATGGACGAAGACATACCATAGGCTTAAGTTGCCACTGAAAGGTTTGCCTTGACGATTCTACCTCATTGTCTTATAAGAATGGATTGTTTTGCTCTTTATTGAGAGCATTAAATGTAACCGACGATCTCCATAGTATTTATTATAGTCTACATTAAATACTATAGCTACAATGTTTTGAATCTAGTGGCAAGAAATTGTTTATCTTTTCTTCTTCTCTTTGTATAAGAGATATAATCTTATCAATAATCTCACTCTTGTGTGTGTGTGTGTGTGTATTTTATATGTATATGCATATTATTTCTAGTTACTCTTGTCACTCTCTTTAAAATATTTTTAATATATTATCAACATGATTATTCTTATGCCCTAATCTTGGTTCTTAAAAATTTATGTGCACTTTATCTTTCATTTTTTTCTCAATTTTTTTTTCTTCCTGTGCTATTGCTATTATTGTTGTTGTTGCTGCTATTGCTATATTATATTGTTGTATTATAGCACCTTGCCACCATTTGCTATACTATGTTGCCATTTATCGCACCCTACCATCAACTATCATTGACTATCATATTATGCCATCAGATTGCCACACCTTATTACCATCTACTACACCCTGCCGCAATCCACTACAAATCTTTATTTTTGTGAAAGAAAAAAGAAAAAAGAAAAAAGAAAAAAGAAACTCCTAAATCTTTTAACATTTTTGATTTCAAGTTTCAAATTTATCATTTTACTTGTCTTTAAATTTTAAGGTACCTTTTATTCAACCTTTTTTACTTGATCTTATATTTTTATTTATAGATTTATTTATAATGAGTGCTTCAATATTCACATCTGCCTCTACTATGTTTCCAACTAATACCACTGCAGATATAATTTTGTTTGAAGAATATCTTACTATAATTACTTCAATTCCTATTGCTATCCGTTAAAAAGTGCTTCTTCTTCTTTGTTGACATCTTGTATCTGCATTGCAACATCAATATTTGGAAATAGAAGATCCAGTCAACATTTGGAAGAATCTAAAATCCAAGTTTGATCATCAAAAGACCATTTTCCTTCCACATGCATGTCATGATTGGATGCATTTACATGTCTTGGATTTTCCAAATTTAAATGCTTTCAATAATAAAATATATTATATTATCTTACAACTACATTTATATAGATAAAATAACTTTGAAGAAGAAATGATTGAAAAAACTCTCTTTACATTTCCTCTTGCATCTGCTATGCTTGTATAATAATATAGGAATATGAAATTTCAAAGTCATGCTAATTTCATCTCCTATCTACTTCTTATGGAGCAATAAAATAAGCAACTCTTGCATAATATAGAAGCTTGTCCTATTAGAACCACGGTTCTAGAATCTCATACATTTAATATTCCAAAGTCTAAATTTTTTTTATATAAACATGGAAAAAATATTCATAATTACCAGATTAATTATGGTCATGACCATTTCCATCCATATGGAAAGAATAAACTTTCTACAACTAATTGCAGTAGAAAAAAAAATTAGAAATACATTCTTGCCATAAATGTAGAATGATTGGACATTTGGCACATGCATGCAGTACTTCAAGATAATTTGTTAAAATATTCTAAAAAAATAAGAAACTTCAAGTTAAGGCTCATGAAATTCACACCATGGATGCGTCCATGGATTCATTTGGTGTTGATAATTTAGAGGCTTATATGAATGATAAAACCTCTAATGATGAATCAAATGATGCACTCATTGATTCTGCAAGGACACATACTATCTTGAGGGATAGACAATTTTTTATTGAAAAATCTTTAACTTGGCAAACTATCATGGATATACATAGATACATTAATAAATATCTATATGACTAAGTAGAAATAGATAAAAGTAGATAAGAATAGGTTAATTTCATAATAACTTTTAAAAAAGCTTCCTAAAAGCTTTATAGTCAGTGCTTTGATTTTATATGTATTTGTAGTTAATTGGTATATTAGAAACTTAGTCAAAAAGTTAACCACATATTGGTAGCTTATAGAACAAGTTAAATATATAGCATACATATAAAAAACTTGCCTTTTAAGTTAAGATACATATCTTACAAAGTCAATACGTTTTAGAGGTCCTACAGGACATTGCTACGTAGCTTCTACGATGCATCAAGAGTATATATGGAGATAAGAGTAAAGCCTTCTTTACTCTTATCAATGCCTTTCTAGTCTTTAGTCTTATTTTAAGACTTTTTAGTCTTCTTGTCTTTGGCAATAGCCATTCTAGTTCAATAATATATCATTTTTGAGTGACTTTTTAGTTCTTTTTAATGACATAAGAGTGTATTGAGGATTTTTCCTTCTTTAAGATTTAGATCTTGGATAGTTTGACAATATCAAAGACTTTTTGTTTATATCTTGGTTTAGAAGTGAGTGGATTATCCTACTTGTATTGTTATATTTTCAAGGTTACAGACTATCTACCTTTAAACAAAAAATCTTATTTTCTAATACTTATCTTTTTTTTAAAGAGAGTAGATTAATCTTCTTCGTAAAAAATTTTATTTGATATAAGAGGTTGTGGATTATCCTCCTCTAATTTAACTTTTTGAATTTGTTTGAATTATCTATGGAAGGAAAGATTATGGATGCTACTTTCAATGGAAGTGAGAATAGATTTTCAATTATTATTGATCTTCATGAACTTCTTAACACTCTAAAAGTAGAAATCTCACATATTTTCAACATGAATCATGGAAGTAGTATGCTTATGCTTATAGAAGAAGTTCAGAATCTATGGCAAGAAGTTGTGTAGTTGAAAGAACCAAGTAGATTGACCTTATAACCAAATCCAGGGATTCTTGCTTCTATAAGTATGATGGAGACAAAGATTATTATGCTTGAGAAG